CTTCTCTTTTCTGGAATCCCTCTCCTCCTCCTCTCTCTCCTCCTTGTCCTCCTCCTCATTCTCTTTTCCTGTCATGCAATTTCCACCCTTCCACACACTTTCCCGCTCGTATGTGCTGCATCACGTACTCTCCCACGCACCGTTGCAAGTTCCCCTGCAGTGTGTGCTCCTCCGAGTCCCTCCGTTCTGGATGTAGTTAAGTTTCACAGGGCCTACTATGTCCTCCTCCTCCTTCCGAGTCTAGGCCTTTTGAAGGTCTACTGGAGTATGAATCTGGACGGACTCCCAGTGAGATTCATGATAAGCTAGGCTTACCGGATAGCCTGCCCCCCCCCTCCACCCCCTTCCTCCTCCTCCTCTCATCAGCGCGGAAATTTTCAGACGCCGGATTGCATTGTTAGGCAGCAGGAAATGGTCATGTTGGCCTTAATATAATCTTATAATGGCCCTTCGGTCCTCCTCTCCAGAGTTTGCAGGTAAGTATTGGGTGAATCTTGCCCCCATACTGGCTGGATTCGTCCCGTACTACCGCCCAAAGAGTCTTAGTAGGCCTCAGGGCACTTCCTCTCAGCCCTCTACTGGTCACTGAATCCAGAGCAAAACTCGCACTAGATCCAGAACCCATCAGGGCTTCACCAGTCCTCTTCCTCTACTTTCCATTCCCTATTTCTCAGCCACAAGGTGCTCCCTGTCTGTGGCCTTAAAATCACCGTGACCTGCCTCTACCCAAAATTGTCTAGGTCCCTACGGTAGCTCCGGTAGGCCAACCAGTACAGCATGGGACGATTCGGGACAGTTCTGCCCGTTCTCTAGTCCTGGGGTTGGGGGCCAGATGATCAGACTCCACCTCCCTCCCCTCCCCGAACCCCCCCCAGATTGTTTGTGAGGGCAAACCTCCGCCTTATGGCTCAGTCATGAACGCCCTGAGTGATTAGTGGGCTGCGATGAGGGGGTACGCGCGGGAGTTTGATGGAAAAAGAGCGGGTCCACAAGGAATTGTGATGGGCATTGGCATCACACGTGGGACCGCATGGAAAACTGGATGGGAATGTAGAAATCCCTAAACACCAACCCCTAAGACCCAACCTTGAACCCTAACCTTAAACCCCTAACCCCTAAACCACAACCCCTAACCCTTAACCCCTAACCCCTAAACCCTCCACCCCGAAAGCTAAACCCTAACCCCTAACCCATAAAACCATAAAAATCTACACCATAAAACCCTAAAACCCTAACCACGTAAGCTCCTAAAACTTCAAAATCTGAAAAGTTTAACCCCAAAACCCTACACCCCTAAACCCCAAGACTGTAAGCCCTTAGCTTATGGGAACCCAGGCAAGGCGGGACTTGGACTCGGGAAAGGTTCTGCGGACAAAGGGAAGAATATGCGAACCAAAAAGGCAGTGCTAGTAGTGCCTGCTCTTATCAGCACCCCTAGCACTCACTTGGTTGTTCAACCTCCCCCCCCCCCCCCCCCCCAAAAAAAAAAGGTGGATAAGAACAAGAAAGAGAGGAAAGAGAAATGACGGTCATCCAAATTTAAACCACCAGTACTTGGCCCAGCTATCGGCCGCGACGCTTTCCCGTTAACGCGCCGCGCCTTTAGGGCTTCGGGGTACCGGACCAGAATGGCTGGAAGCGCCAGCCAAAAATTTTCAAAATGGTACCCCGGCGCTTCGGCGAAAATTGGCGCGCAGGGGCATTCCAGGCTCAGCATCGATAGGTGGGCCAAGTACTGGTGGTTTAATGAATGATTTGATTAACATACCGGACCCATAAGACTTTCATTTCTTTCCAAAAATTGTCAATTTGAATGAGGGGATGGATAACAAAAAAGGCAAAAACAAGGAAGGTATGGCCTGTCCTCTGTCTGTCCATGAAAAGCGTACGGCAACAATAAACCAAATTCCGATGAGAATACCAGTTCTCGGACCCCCCCCAAAAAAAATAACTGCATAGCCTTTAGGGAATAGAGAGAAGAAAAATCTTGGTTAAAAAAAAAAGAAAAAAACAAGAGGTAAGTACGTTGAATATCGAATGGACAAAAAATACACGCTTCGGCAAAGAAAACCGCACCGAGTTCAAAAAAAAAAAAAAAAAAAAAAAAAAACACCGAGTTCAAAAAGGCAACGGAAGTACCGACGGCAGTGGTGTCAGAGGGGGAAACAAAAAAGAAAAGAAAAGAAAAGAAAGGTGTAACTACGGCGCAGTCCCGTTTTCAGTTCGAAATCGACTTCGGACTTCCCTCAAATACAACACATCCCCACCCGACCCTAAAGCTGGGTTGGATACATTCACGATTTTCCTCGTTTCGGAGCAAAATCCGCCAAACCGTGGCTGAAACGCATTTAAAAGTTAAAACTGAAAACCTTGACTGCACCCTAGTTCCCAAAAATAAAATGCTCGACAGAATACTTTCGGACTGAAATTGCTCATTTCGCGTTGGTGCGCGGTTTCTTTGCCAGCGCGAGGTTTTTTTTGCCTTCAGGGATTCAAAACATGCCGTGTCCGCGGTTATTTAAAAAAAGAATCATAACCAGCCATTATTTTGGCCTCTCTACGCCCACCCGTTCCCAACTTAAGATTTAAAGGCGGGAACAGTTTTGTAGGTTGTGAAGCTACCTCTGGAACTACGTACCTGGACTTATATCAGACCAGATTCCGTCCAGTACCATCATTGCCCAACTCTGCCAGCTATTTCAGCAATCTCATTTTCAAATTCATTTTCAAACTCATGTACAGTATCTTTAACATTCACAAAAAAAAAAAACAAAAAAAAAAAACAGACTGCAGCACCCATCAAATCTACTTTTGTCCCTATCAAATCTGCTTTTGTCCCTCCCCCTTTCCCTCGGACATATCGCACCTTGATAGTGAATGTATAGAAGTCATCTTTCCGGTCCGTTACAGACATAATGAGGGTCTGTCGTGTTCGAGAAAAGATGGTCGGCATCCTACAATTTTTTGCAACTCCTGCAGCTTGATTTCAGTACTGTCCCTGCAACTACATCAATTTTCAGAACTACCCCTCCCCTGGAGGCAAGATACAGTACAAGAACAGACATGGCACACGGGCACAAATTAGGGTCGCATGCACTGAAGGGAAAATAAAAATAAAAATAAAAATGCCGCATGCGTCATACAGACCCACGAACACACAGAGAGACCAGCAAACACAAAGCCTCAGAAATCTCACTCAAGCTACCACGAACACACAGAGAGACCAGCAAACACAAAGCCTCAGAAATCTC